AAATGTTAACTGCGCTTTTCTGAGAGCTGCGGCTGTTTGTCACACTGACCTGGGGGCATCTGTAATGGTTTTTGCGTTTCTCTGCACGGCTGACCTGCGGTGTGGATGCAGTCGCGCGCACCGTGCTAGCGGTAGCGGCTCGCTCGCACGCCGCCGTCGTGGGCCCGAGGTGCGCAGGCCGCGCTGCACCGAACCGCACGGTCCCGCTCCTCCGCGCTCCCCGCCGCGTGCTCAGCACCGCGCGGCGGAGGAAAGAAGATATTTGCGCTCCGGTACGGAGTCGTAGAGCCGCGTGCCTCTTTCGAAAGCTCGTGGGCAGGGAGAGCCCCCAGCCTCAAATACAAGCAGGTGCACTGCTTCGCGGCCAAGGGGTGAACTCATGACCTCCAGACTTTGCAAGGAAAAAGGAGCACAAATAAAAATTATACAAAGAGATGAAAGTATCGTCAAAGCGCGTCACTTTTCTTTATAAAGAAAATTCAAAAAAAGAAAAAAAAGAAACGTCCTTTATTCTCCCTCATTGGGCAAATTCAGGTGTTCCAGTAGCAAAGTGACAGACATGGGAAATCACTCAAAAGTAAAGAATACAAAATTTAAAAAGGAAGAAGAAAGAAATAAGAGGCAAAGAGTTAACTTGGAGTGCCTGGTGAGACATTTGGCCCTCCCCTAGACTAAACCGCATGAGATAAATATAATTCCTTTTTTTTATTAAATGGCTGTAAATATGTTACTTCAGGTTCACTGTCTTAAATAAAAGCACAACTAAGCATGGATATAAAAACAAACAAAAAAGGCCATTTCTGGGCCAGGTAAAACTCTGGTCTAGTATAAAAACACACACTCACCAGTGTTGTTAGGTACAGACATGAAAGTATGGATCCATGCCACCTTGTACCAACACTTCAGGCTGATGGTGCTGTAATGAGGTGGGAGATGTTTTCTTGGCGCACTTTGAGCCCCTTGGTATCACCTGAGCAATGTTACATGGTAAATGGCCTGTATTTATATAGCGCTTTACTCGTCCCCAAGGACCCCAAAGCGCTTTACATATCCAGTCATCCACCCATTCACACACTGGTGATGGTAAGCTACATTGTAGCCACAGCCACCCTGGGGCGCACTGACAGAGGCGAGGCTGCCGGACACTGGCGCCACCGGGCCCTCTGACCACCACCAGTAGGCTACGGGGGAAGTGTCTTGCCCAAGGACACAACGACCGAGACTGTCCAAGCCGGGGCTCAAACCGGCAACCTTCCGATTACAAGGCGAACTGCCAACTCTTGAGCCACGATCACCCCATGGCACAGCCTACCTGAGTATCGTTGGTGAACATGACCATCCCTTTTATGACCACAGTGTTCTGATTGATGTGGGATAACACACCACACCATAAAGCTCAAATCATCTCAAAGTGGTTTCCTGATCATGGCAATGAGTTCACTATATGTTGTTGAATCTGTGCCATCAGGAGTTATTTAATTTGAAGCTCAAAGGGGGGCCAATTGTTAATGAAACATCATCAATGATCTGTAGTGTCAAATACAAGGCTTGGGGTAAGCACTCCAATCTGACCTGCTGAATGGCTTTGAAAAATATGAGGGAGGGCATACTTTAAGCACCTTTGCTGATAAAGAGCTCCCTCACAGCCATTCATGCTACATTAAAGCAGATAATGAATTATATATGACAGAAAAGGTCCTGTTTTTTTACTGTCTACTATAAAAATGTTGGTTAAAACTAAATTTTCATCAATTGAGAAAAACTGCCAAAACTTTTTTTTATATATATATATACACATTTATCATGTTGAAAAACTGAAATGTGGTGTTGAAATGACACTTCTTTATTTCATAGTAAGATATCTTAAGGATTAAATGTGCAATTAAATGTCTTTATACTGACAAAAATAGTTTTACTGGGCCACTTAAGATCAAAGTGGGCTGTATGTGCCCCTCGATGCGAAATGACTTGACTGATCAAGTCAGCAGTGGTAGGCTTTACTCTAGAGAAAGAGGGGAAAAATCAGTTCAATACAGTAGGTCTGCATCATTTCAGATAATTTAATTATAAAAAATTCTCGACAGTTATTAAGGCACGGCTTTGTAGCACGCAGATGGGCTAAACGATGTAAACGCGAGCATTTCACCCACATTTGCAGCTAAGAATAGACCTGCAATGCAAACAGATTTAGGAGCATGTGAATAAAAAGTTTGACAACATTAAGCCCACACAGCCCCCAGTTTTAAACAGAAACACTGTATTACACGTCAATACAATTAAAGGTTTTAGTTGTTGTTTTGACAGATGTTGTATTCAGTTTTTAAATATTTCTAAAATGGACAGCAATGAGCAGTTCATTTCAAAAGACCATTGTTTTACTCTTCTGAATATTTATTATTGCTCATTAAGAAATGATCCTGTGGCTTCTTGCTTCTTACGTTCTGATGTTCTACTTTTCAAGCCGAGGAGTGCAAAAGAAGATGGAAGAACATGAGAGACAGGTACCTGAAGGAGGTCCGAATGGAGCTTAAAAGCAAGAAGCAGGGAGAAAACGTTCAAAGCAAATGGAAATACAGACAACTTATGAACTTCATTGCGCCGTTCACTGGGTCAAGAAGTGGACTGCAGGAAATCTCTGCCAACAATGATGAGGACCATGACAACCCTGAAGACTCTAGCAACGTGGATGGAGAAACCGCTTTGTCAGAGGCAATCAAAACACCACAGAGTGCTGTAAAGGTCCCCGCGAGTCTGCCCGACCTCAAACCACAGGTGACATTTGTAACGCAGCTTCCTCCAGCGACTCAGGACACACAGGTGGCTCAGCTGGCTGTTCTGGCCAAGATACCATCACCCCCACAGGTCTCGCCTGTCACTGGCGTTACTGGACAGAAACGGAAACCGGCCCAAGAGCCGCCGTCTGCACCTTCCTCCCAAAGTACGCCCATGCCGACAAAATGGTTGGTCAAAGACAATGTCCCCTCTTTTCCCACTAAGCCGCGGGACGAGGATGAACTGTTCCTGCTGAGCTTTGTTCCCGCTCTGAAGAGACTCGCTCCACAGAAGAGGTGCGAGACGAAAATAAAGATCCAGCAGATTATGTACGAGGCAGAGTTCAACGTTACACATTCAGCGTCTCAAGAAAAGGTGGAGACAGAAACACAACACTGATTACATTTAAACTTTTAAAAAATACTTTATTGTATTTCTTTTATATAAACTTCTGCCACAGAATTAGTAAAAGTGGTAGATATTGAAGAAATTTTTTATGTGAAGTAGTTTGTTTCCCCCTGATTAGTGTATTTATTAGGCAATAAAGACTTAGAGGCAATGAGGTCATTAGATTTACACCATAAACAGACAGTTAATCTTTATTTACATAACTTTATCAATAGATTTCAAACATATTTCGAAAAAGCTGTTTCTTAGTCAACCAGTCTTAATTTTTACTCTGTAATAATTACAGTATTTTACATGTAATTACAATTGCATACAGTAAACTGATGAGAATAAATGCGTAGGTGAACACTGTTTAATGAATGACTCTTTCTGCTTACATGCTTCTTTTTAAATCTAAAATAAAGATTCTTGTATTCTGAAAAAGTGTCCGTTTGAAGTCACCCTCAGCTATTTAGTGGGATTTATGCTCTGATCAGGTAATTTCATTTCGAGCAGTTCCTGGACAGATTTTTTTTTTTAAGGTCACTACCATCTGTAAAGGTCGACACACAGTTCAACAGCTTCAGATTACATTTAAGTAATTTTGTTATGTTGCAAAACTCAGTTAAAATAATCACTGGATCCCCAAAGTATGTCCCAAAGGACATGCTCATTGTTACTGTAGCCAAATAACTTTAACTGTAAAGTGCATCAAGCCAAAAGTCCTGTTTGGCAAACTGTTTTTTCTTGTCTTTTCCCAGCATGCCTTCCATGCAGAATAAAGTTCTGTTTTCTCTTTCTGGCTGTAGACCCATACACTATGTCGCCATCACTAGCAAGACTAAACCACTAATTGTGTGATGAAACTTTGGGGTTTCTGAAAACTTTTTTTGCAACAAATGATCAGCACTGAGGTTGACCTTGTTTCAGTGACCAGACCCAGGAAAAAAAAATTAAATACAATTCCAAATAATCTGGAGATCTTTAGATTTAGATGGCAACAATAACAACATACACTTCAATAAATTCAAACACTGTACATTTCACTCATCAGTCCCTAAAGAATGTCTGTATAAAACTTTGAACTGCTTTTATAAGTAAGATCATTTTGCTTTTTATTATTTATAGCATGAAAATGACAAAAGTTCAGTTATGTGTCATTTGTTTATGTATAATCACATTTATTGCGAGGGGGGGGGAGAAGTATGAAAGCAGAATCACAGATGTGTCAGATCTCTTGAGTTTTATGCAATTAGCAGCCAAAACATGATCACGAGAGCCACAAAGAGGAAGAGTCGAGACAGAAACTGCTCGTCCGTGTGCTGCGGTGTCCCCGGAGCCGCTGCTTGGGAAATTGTTTAACAGGAGGTTATTTGACATGCTAAATGCTTGGAGCGGTCATAGTGATGTGTGACAAACAAATACCTGGAGGAGGTCTTCCATCATTGATGTTAAAAGCTGTTGCAAAAATACCAAACGGAAAGGCACCGATCCCAAACGACATTTGGAAGCCTCCATCTCCAAAGCCAAATCCCTGAAAACCCTGTAATACGTATCATCAAAAGTTACGAAAGTCTGAGTTGCCTTAATGAGCAGACGTGTCTTTGCAATATCTGAGGTACAGTTTAATGTACAGCAAGTGAGACGTGACGCAACAGCAAGTGCCAAATGATATCATTCTCTGGAGACGCGCTGGCTCTCCACACTTATTATCTAACAGATCCCAGTGGGGAATGTCAGTCTGTTAATGGATACAGCAAACCTACATCACTGTATGCAATGGTTTCATCATGAATTCATAATATTGCTGGGCAGCTTACAGGGCTATAAAACACTACACTATGTCTAAATTCTTTTTTAAAAAGAGCTTAAAATTTGGCATACTTCAGGATGATAATAAAAATATACCAGGGCTCTAGACTAACTTTTTGCCACGGTTGCACTGGTGCACCTAACTTTTTTCTTAGGCACACCCAAATTTTTCAACTGCATCGCTTAACACTGCAGTTTTACCTGTTTGCTGCTGCCTGCTGCTGAAAGGCAGAGGGGGGGAGAGGGTACACTTGGGCAGTGCATTTATCGCAGCATATGTGTTTCCTGGGTACACTGTGCTTTTTCAGAGTTCAGAGATTGATGGCTCCGTGTCAGAGCACTGGCTATGAATTTCAGACGGATCAGGCCTTAACTTAACAAAAAGGTTATCAATCGTTCTTTTGATCTTTTCTGTGTGGTGTGTAAGCATCACTGCAGATGCCTTTGTGTCAGAGTAACTGAGAATAAAACACAGAAAAACATGAAGATTTTCCTGGCCTGGCTTTTTATAGCAGATAACCTTAAAAATATTCTGCAATTTTGCACAATTTTAAAAAGTCTAAACTTCTTCAGTATTGAACAGCAGAAATTAGGCTTTCTTGACAGACAGCAGCCGACAGCGCTGTAAACAACAGTAGACTGGCGGGTAATAATAAGCGAATGAATAATGCAGAAAACAGAGATTTGAGATGGGAAACTGTTCTTGAAGTACACTTTGGTCGCACTCTAGAGCCTGTATACTGATCTATCGTACTTACCCCACGGTTTTCTGGCTCGGGCCTTTGTCCTTGTGGTCGTGGGGGTGTTTTTTCTCTGTAAAACATAACCAGAATTACCCAAAATGACTCCAAATCACTAATATTTAATACTATCCAATTATCACAGTCACCAATTTTACCCACCTTGGATCCTGTTGACCTGTACTTCCGCGCCCATATATGGGGATTACTTTATCTCGGCTGATACCAGCTTTGCATACTGGACACACTTGTCTGTTGGGTCGAGTCTCCAGCCACTACAAAATTTAAAAAAAAAAAAAAAAAAAAGTGAAGAAGCTAATCGCTTCCTTTATCTGTAACGATGTGCTGCTTCTGGTGGAGTGCAAAAACAAGAGGAAACAACGGTTTCAGCTTACCTGATGCAAACAAGGCCAGCTAATCAGGAGGAGATGCAAATGAAGATGGGAGAAGCTTGATTAGTTAGATATTAAATGTCCTTGAGCACCTATGAGTCACAAAGCAGGAACTTAAATTTGAAAATTTAACTTAATTTTGCCCAGAAGGGGTGTACTACAAAGCATGTTCTACAGGGTCAGGCTTTCTTTGCTTTAGGCCGGGATTATGCTTTCTGTGTCTGTAAGTCTGCTGGGGTTTGCTTGGATCCTAGTAATGTAAAGTTAATCTTGCATGCTTGGGTATTTTTGTGAACATAAAAGACTCATCCAGTGAGAATTTACACCCCAGTGCACCAACTACACAGGCATTCCAGGTGGCTTCAAAGTAGTATAACAGGAACGACTACTCAACCAGCAGGTCTCCAGCTGTCTGTGTACACAACAGGTACACTGTGTATACTACAGGAATAAAGATATATCAAACATAATAAAACTGCAGAAAGGAACGCTGGAGCTGCAAAAATGTCAGACGACAGAGTTGTTGTGAATTCATAAGTTGATTTATTTCTTTGAGCACTCCTGGAGCTGCTGCTTATTTGTGACAGGACAGCTGCACATTGCTTTCAGAGCCCTTGGTGTTGTCAGGTCAGGTCAGTGTCACAAAGCCTCATGAAGAAGATCTGGTAATCACTCAGTTTGTGGCCTAATCAAAGGGAAGTATATTTGACTGATTTAATATTCTCTGTGATAAAGAGCTTACAAATAAAATGTCCTTCTGACTGTTCTTGTTTTTCAGGAGTTCACCATGCATATTTGATTTTGCACAGATTTCATAACAACGGCCAACCCTGGCTCAACCGTCCTAATATTCGTGGGAGTGCACGAGCTTGTGAACCCCCAGGGCTCGGTTTGTGCCTCCTCCCCGTCTCATATCAGAGAGAAACTTCACACACTGTAAAGCCACTTAATAGCCCACAAATACACTGATTAATTTTCTAAAACAGGCTTGGCAACTAATCAGAACTAAGAATCAAAGCACGTTTCACCAACTGAATGCATGATGCATGGTTTGCTTCATTTGACAGTGTTAGTAAGGTGAAGGACCACAATTAGGGCAAATGCGATACTTATTTAAAGCAAAACTCTGAATATAACCTGTTATGAACCAGGTTGTGTGTTCAGCGTAAGTTACCAAAGTGATCGAGCCACATCTGAGACACTTCACTTTATAGCACACCCCTTGGCTATTCTGTGTGGACCGAGGTTGGCCTGTATTACATTCGCAGAGGCTCAGAAGTGGAGGTGAACTCAAACCATCCCTGTTTACATGTTGGATGTCACACTGCACATCTGAAATTTTGTAGGACCTGCCTCACAATTTACTAATAAACAGGCAACATTAACTACTACTATTAACTTCTACCAAAACTTAGCATTTCCGTTCAGTGTTTGCCAAGTATGATGTGATAAGTTATGCATGCTTGGAAACGATCTCGTCATGTCTGCCAGTTACAAACCGATATTGTTCTTTAGGAGCTATGCTGATGTGTCCACGACTCACCTCTGGCTCACAATTAAAAATATAAACATGTGTCACAGACAGCAGCACGCTTCTTACCAGAAGAGGTGTCCACATAAACTAATCACGGCGTCCTTGGCGGTGTCCAGGCATATGTTACATTCAAAGGTGCTGTCCTGGTTGCCACTCTCAGCGGCAGCCGAGCTACTAGATCCGGGACTTGCGTTTTCAACGCCCGGAGTCGGAGGAGCAGCGTTGGCCATTTGTCACACAGCTTAAATCCTCTAAACAAGTAGCTGGGGTGACTACAATGGCACCCGGGGTCTCAATACATACACATAAAGAGGTCCAGTGGCCAGGAAGTGGGGCTAACGAGAGGAGAAAGGAGTGAAAACAAACAAAAATACCCTGCTGGAAGAAACGTCCATGTCGAACATTTACGCTAACGTTAGCAAACAAGGAAAACTAAGCACAAAACGACAGTTTCACAGAGATTAACCAACAGCTGAGCGACAGATGTTAAACGGTGTCACTCAGAAAATGATTGGATGGTGAGTGACACTCATAATTTGTTGTGAGGAGTCTAGAAAATAGCCTTACAGACCTTTGCATCACACTTTCAGCAACGCCACTTAACCGGTAGTAGATCCTTGGAGGGGGCGTGGCTAAGACTGAATCGGTGGGATTTTGTGGCCCTCAGTTAGGCCTTTCAGGTGAACCTGACAAAAGGTTCCACCACTTTTAAGCAGAGCTTTAAAGATGAAGGACATTTTGTGAACGTTTGGTCTCATTTAACTGTGAAGAAGAGGTCAGAGGTCTAAAGTAACGTGATATTTAAAATCCCCATATATCATTTGCTGCATGCCTATGTTGTCAATCAACATACAATTGCAGTAAAAAAAAACAGCAAATAGCTCCATATGGCATTATTATCACTTTGACCTTCAAATCAGTCTATAGACCTTGAAGGAGAAGTCAGAGTTCAAATGTGACCTGATA